CCACCACGGGGTCTTCACGTGTCAACAATTCGTTCAATGTATACACAATCTCTATAAAAACATAGTTTGGTTCTCGTCAGTGGTAGCTAACACCAAGAACTGATTTTAATGAGATTGGTACATACATAAATTAACGAATATCGAATGGCAACATGATGATTTATTTTTACGAGACTATGATCACCCTGGTACCACCTTGTTCTCTAATGTATGTCAGGATCACAAATATATATATATATATAAACTGAGTAGAAAAGAAAACAAATCTCATCTTTGAAAATAAAACAAATTCCCGTCACTCATTTCAAAACACCGCACTGCTACAACTGGGCAGGAAGTCCAGTCACTCTGGACCCGACAATCCAGTGACTGACATCATGAACTTGGGATATGATTGGGATACGATGACATGCATCAAGTTGTTGTTGTTGCATTAAGTGTTTAAGAGGTCGCCTTCTGCCTAGGCAATTTCGGCTGACCTGTCCCTCTTTGGGACTCCTGTGTGTGAGAAGGGTACACATATCTATTGTGAGTTCGGTGTTCACATAATTTCCGTTTTTGCATTGATATGATTTCTATTTTATTATATTGATATAATTTCATTTTTAAAATGCATCAAGCAATATCCATCTATATATATATACTCCAGCGATATATATATATATACATACTCACCGTCAAAGGGACCGCGAATACAATACATGTTGGGTAATAATACTCCTTTTCAATAGATATTACAATGGTTCGATGTACAAACGAACATACTGGAATGTTGAGTGAACCGATACCCATGAACGCATCACATGTGACGTCATAGATCCATGACTCGAGATGCACCATTTAAGCATGTAAAGTCTGGAAATCACGTGCAGCATATCGTGATAAGAATAAAGACACTCTGTGGTAACACTTGGCCGATTGTTAGTTTTGTCATTAATTGGTACACATTGGAAACCTCTTCTCAACGTACATACTTCTCTATAAGTTTCGCCTTAAACAGACTAAGAAACAAACAAACAAACAAACAAACAAACAAATATATACAGTGAGTGACGGAATTCTTGTCACGTTAAAGTAGTGCGTCGTTATATAGTGTTTGACGGGATTTCCTGCTCCACCACCAGTGGCAGCGTTAAATAGGGATGATTGTCACAGCCAACCTAAATTGTCAAAGCTAATCTCGTGTCACCTGCAACACACCTCTCTTCTGACGAGCTTTCAGTTTGAGTAATTAGAAACGATGTGTGACTGCGAGCAGAATGACTACCCAGGGTACCACAGCACGCCTCTGCACCCCACCCCCCGCGCTACAAATGTTCCCCTGTCATTAAGACCCACCGTCGCCGGCTCTAACTACAGGCGAGGGTGGCGGTCTCATTGTCCCATATATAAAGAGACAGATGAACGCCGGGCCAATTTAGGGTATTTGAGGAAGGAAGGACAGGAGAGCAAAATTCACATAAAGAAAATATGCGTACCTGCAGCAATGTGAGTTAATTTACATACATGTATATGTTTTCTATGCATGGTCGACAAAAATAATTAAAAAACGACGAAATATATTTCCTTTCATTTTCTACTTATCATATATATTTCATTAATATTGGCATTTCGATGTTATGATCATTGTCGGTTTAGCCGTACTTGATCAATAAATGTTCAACAAACTATTAAATATTCTCTAATTTGGTTTATTTCGTTGTGTTATACTGAAACGAAATCGTTGTTGTTGAAAAGGTTATTACTAACATCTGTATACAATTAGACGTGAAACACTTAACACAATAATGGGCATCCCCTATTGAAGTGGATATAGTAACGTATAGCAAAATTCTATGCTTAAAGATACAAATTTCAAAATAAAAAAACAACTTATTTTCATGTTTATTAAAAAGAAAGCTTTTTCACGATACATTAAACAGATGTTGCTCTCCAGACAGGTATTCGGGAGAAATTGTATTGAGCGTAGATTGAGCATTTCGAAAATATGGAAGAGCTTGCACTGTGGTTCAAGTTTTACACTTTAAGATTTTAATATTTGAGACCATGTAATTAACGCCGCTTTTAACACTATTTATGTTGCATCACAGCGTGTCAGCTTGATGTGGGAGGAAAGTCCGAAGTGGTGCAGGTCTCAGACGTTTGCCACTTTGGTGACACCCACGAGCACGGGTATGGTGCAGACAAACCTAGCTTTATACTGAAGGCACACCGTGAGTCGAACCCACGTTCATGGGTTTCTGGCACCCCTAAGGGACGCAACTCTGCACAGCAACTTGTGACTCCCTAGGCGCCTGGGCAATCCGTGCAGGATGTAAGGATGTTAATCTATTCATATAAACATTCAGGAATACCTTTACCTTTACTCCCAATAAAACCCAGCTATCTGATTGGCCAGTCGCCGTCATGTAAAAACCCATACAAACAGGCCGGCATGTACGGACTCCATGACGTAAAATGGCGCCATCTGCTTGCCACGTTATTTTGACCAGGTGGAACCTACTCGGAGACCTGATATTCTCACATAAGCTGAGAAAACAATTTCGGTAAAATATTGAACTCGTGAACTCGACCGATTGGCAGACTGTCAGCATTGTAGCTAGTATAAAAACGAGACGTTATCGCTGTTGGTTTGGCATAACCGCGCTAGCGGCATTGGTATAAAAACAAAAATGTACTGTTTGAATTGCTGATTAAACCATGCAGTTTATACACTAATTTTAGACGGGAACAGTAAACAACACATTCATATGCACATATCAACACTGAAAAGGTACCCAACGCAGAGACACGCAAACCAACATGTTAATGTTCAGTTGATTTACACAAACTTGTTGACAACATCGCGTGTACCGCAGCGTGTGAATGAAAACAGTTGAAGAGCCCATAAAATATCAGTCTATCATCACCACTCGACCTGTGCCGGCTCGAGAACCTGTTTGATTGTGTTTATAAGTTTATATTGACAACATCTTCCACGACAAGGTGACACATATTTCACGACATTGGACGGTCTTCCGTTAGGAAAGTACTTGCAGATTTGCGGCCAGTCAGAGCACAAATGCACATATCAAATATTATCTTATACAATATTTTTGCTATCAATAAACAAAATAAAACAATATGTTCAGATTTAACTTTATGTTCGGAAACAAGAACACATTTTTGTTGTATTTGACTGGGTAAACTACAATAGCCTTCGCTTAATGAAATTCCTCCTATCATTAGAGACAGTTATTGTTGACAGTGGCCTGCCTAGCCGGACCCCCCTCGCGGTTACCGCCTTGTCGTTGACCCAGGGGTGACAAACGCGAGATGTCATTGGACGGTGTAATTGTGCGTCTCTTTGTTTGAAGTAATAGTACTTGCCGGCAAAGTATTAATGCAAAGTAGCCTATTCATTCAATATTGGAACGTTTACTAAAATTGGTTCATTCGTGTTTAAAGTAATTAATTACACAAGAAACGTTTAATACAATAACATTTCGTTCAAAGAATATTTTATTCTACACGAATATTAAAGTTATAAATATATTGATACAAAATTATTTCTTTTAAAGTCTTTCTCCCAAATGTTAATTTCAAAATATAACCTGAATATTGCTGATTCGGGCGTTAAACAACAAACATCACAAAATAACCTATCTGGCTTTCTAATTTTAATCAACTATGCTTACTAAAGAAATTCGATTTTTTAAAAAGCAGACATTCCAAACTCATGGCGCAGGACTGCGTGTGAAGAGCAGCTTAAACCTACAACGTGCTTAGTGAGAGAGAAAAAACATACGCGGTGTATTTTAATCAATATATTTCAGGCACATGTTCGACTGTTCTCTGAGAACGACACAAACAAAGATGACGTCATCTTTACTTGTGATGTCATACACCGCTAACAAAAACACGCTCTTATCACCGATGCTCGTAATATCCACGAGCAGACAAGAGTCGTTAAATATCTGCCACAACTGAAATAGATCGTGTGTTCTGTACCATGCTAGTTCAGACGTATGAATGTTATTTATATGTAACATTTAAATAAACTAAACACTAAGTATATAAATAATATACAAAGAAATGGTTGTGCAAATCGACCTTCTGCGATTTATTTGACGTCAATATATACAGGATTTTTATAAAAGGATTGTTTGACGTCGATTAACGTGTGCAATAGAAAGAAAACATATAAATATATATAAATAGTTTAGAAAACAACTCATGATATTTTTAACACAATAAAAAATATATAAATGTTAACGCATTCATGCTAGATCGTTGTTTTAGTTCAAAATTGACATTTGTTATATATCTACAGTATCATTAACTTAAACTAAATTGAGTTTGTTACATTATGTTTGTTGAAAGCCTCCAAGATGTATAGGTGGAACGTTTCGTCGGTAGTAATATAGATTGCCGGATTAGATTATGACAATTTATGCTAATGCAAACGAGGGGGACAGGTCGTAACAACTCGTCAAATATCAGTTTAATCTTAACAGAAGTGAATTATTAATATCACTGGGTAAACGAAACTTGCTTCGTTTAGGCTTCCGTTAAGGATGTAACGCACGAATGATTTCACTTTTCTCAACAAAGGAAAAACGAATTAACAATAAACAACCCGACCCCCCTCCAATTTCAACTTAGACCGGCCCCGCACTATGAACTGCAAGCTTGTACGACATGCGGCCTAATTTTCCGTGGAGTCCCTAGTATCTGATACTTGTATGTGTGATCTCGCTTACTCGGTGGAAAATACACTGTAGTCTTTGTCGGAATGGCTAGCCCGGCCTAGCTTGCCACCGCAAGTGTAGGGTAGCTCTAGAAAGCTGAAATATCGTAGAAATAGCAGTGAAAACCGCAAATCAAATAATCGTCAAATAAACTAGCAATAAGGTGAGAATCATATCATGTCCCCCAATCACTGCAGAAAGAAATACATTCACTGAACAAAGAAATGTCAAACGCTTGTCCATAATTTCAAAATCCTGACAGTATATCCTTACATTAATGACAACAAATGTTCAGGAATGATGTCAGATACCAATGAAGCAACAGTGATATTTTTGAGAATGTCCGAATGATCATCTATATCTTCTAGTCTCACAGTAACATTGTTTGCTATGGCTGATGACGTCACGAACTCTGCCTGCCACATGCGCTCAACCTGAAAACCTGTCTCAATCTACTCCATTTTCCTCGGAAAAGAAGAAGCGGATCTCTAATCAGGTTTTTTGGCTTATTTTCTCAGATTTTCTTCTTATATGCCAGTGTGAATGTCACTATAGTCTCCAGAAGCCTCTAGGGGCAGTGAGTGTTCAGTTCCCGGTGTTTTGATGCGTTGTTCAATCATATAAATAGCGTTATCCTCCGCGATTTACTTTGTTCCTCAACCTATGGATTTGCAAGATTCGCTTCGACAGCTTTTGGACGCAAAAAACGGTATCATATTTAACTCGCACTTTGGAAATATTGTCATAGAAGGGTTCCTTAGTTTCCAAGCTTTCATTTGGTGTGTATATTATGGTATTTGAAGGCTATTTCCATCGTATTTTTGAAGAAAACTTCCATCGGCGCTTGTCATCTTTCTTGTGTGAATGTTCGTAGTTATTGACCATTATATTTTCTTCTCGACAACAGCCATTTTATCTCACTCGACATATTCATTTCGCGTTGAGTTAGCTGACAGTGACTTTTACTCGCATTTTCTCTCTTATTTCGTACGTTTGCCGGTTGTAAACAATCATACCACGTGGTAATGTTTTCATTCTGTTGTTTGGTGTTGTGTATTTTGAAATTTCTCAAACGTTTTTAAAACATTTAGTGGGTTTTTTCGCTATCCTCACTGGGGGGTGTCCAAGCTGGATGTGTTATAATGGTGGTTTGTGTAAGTCACAATTTCGCCGGTATGGATATATTTGCATGTTTTCGGTCATATTTTTTTCGTGTATTTTGTGCATACCATTTCATCACCTGTCATTTCTTACACTTTGCTGTATTGTCAACGCAGGATTTGATAAGGTCTAAAAGCAACATTTGTTAATTTGTGTTAGAGTGTTTTTATCATATAAAAGTATGAGTAAGAGTATGTAGCCCACATCGGTTGGTTAAATGGGAGTGAATTAGAAGAGGGGGTGATTGATTTGATTGTGAAGTATTATATTATTCAATGCAACATGACTTGGATGATGGTGTTCCACTGATTCAAATAAAGTACACCATCTATTAAGAAAATGATTTAACCAAATCAAGGCACAAATCTCTCTCTATCTCTCTATATATATATAAAGAATGAAATGTTGTTTTCTTTTATTGCTGATAATTATTTGTCACTCTGGGTTATGTTGCTGTGTAATCAGCCAAATGGCTCTTAGGGTACTTATTATAAATAACAGTGTGTGTACATATGTATATGTATATATATGATAGACAATAAAATATGTTTTATTAATGAAATGGATGTAAGCATTACTTCATACACTGTAAAAGTATGTTTTCTCTTAATTATTTATCTGCTTCTTGTCATACCATCACTGACTGTTAATCTTTTATTAGCCAAATGGCAGGTAATACATGAATAAATATAAAACTTCAAGAGTATAAAGTCTTTCAGGATCATTTATTTTCAAACCATGAAATGAAGTGATTGAAAACTACACTGCAGATTGAGAGTCTGTAGCTATATTCAACAAGTTCTGTTTGGGAAGTGTCATTTTGCACCCTTTTAATGTTATGTCCTTGCTCACCTATCAAACTGTATGTAATGCCATGATTTAATATTGGGCTTGATATGCCATGACAATTTTCCTGAATATATTCCTCCAACTTCCTCTTGTGTTTTGGATAAATAAGTTACTTTTGAGGAATGATAGTCTATATTACTCAAAAAAAGTTAAAAGAACAGCTGATTCTTTCACATTACTGTGGTATCTGTCATGCTTCTTTAAAATAGTATGAATCTGTCCGTAGTGATTATCAAAAGGTCTTTTCTAGAAGAAAGATGGACAGTTGTGTAGCATCGTGGTTAAAGCATTGGTTATCACATTTCAGACCTGGGTTTGATTCTCCAATGGGTTATGAGGAAGAAACCTTTCTTGGTGTCCCCTTTCATGACAAGGCTAGAATAAACCTAACAGTAAAAATACCCTCACTCACTCATTAGAAAAGTTTGTTTGTTGTTTAACGTCGCACTCGGCAATATTCCAGCTATATGACAGCGGTCTGTAAATAATCGAGTCTGGACCAGACAATCCAGTGATTGACATCATGAGCATCAATCCATGCAATTGGGATACGATGACATGCATGAACCAAGTCAGCAAGCCTGACCACCCCATCCCGTTAGTCGCCTCTTACGACAAGCATAGTCGCCTTTTACAGCAAGCATGGGTCGCTGAAGACCTATTCTACCCAGATCTTTACGGGTCCATTAGAAAAGAGGCTTGTTGAGACTTTATGAAGACAGATTCTTCATGAGCGAATGTGATATCGCTGTAATGCAGCTGTAGTATTGATGTAGTATTGTGACAATGACATACAACAACCTTTCCTTGCTAGCTCCTTGAAATATTTTGCTGTATACATTACTTTATATGGATATATTAAAGATTTTTGCAATGCAAATGATTGTTTAAGTGGTTATGAGCAGTCCTAATTTTGTATTTTACCTTGGCAAAATAACTTATGTAAACATGTGATCTCCAATGTTATTGATTGTCTATAGAATGTGGGGATGCTTGTGTCATGATAGGTATTGATTACGACCCTATAACAAATTGTTGCATAAAAGCTTTGTGTAGTTGCTTCTTCTAATGGAAGCATCAGACAATTTCGAAGCTTGTCAAGAATATTCAACTATTGTGGTAGACATTTTTAGCAGCCAGCTCCTATGAGCACCACTGTGTTTGAAAATACAATTTAAAGTATCTTATGTTAATATCGAGGTATCTCCTTTAAATATATAATTCATGTCACCTTGTATCACAATAAAGCATCTTTATGCATCATGGGCATTTTATATGTCAAAAACAGTAGCAGTTCTTGTTCAGGGTCTATTTTATGACCCCAAGTATCCTCATTAAGATCCTTTGTATGTTGGCCACACTCATGTTTGTGGGTTTTGTGAAATTGGCATATATCTAAAACTTGCATAACCTCAGACTTTCCTTCCACATTAAAGCTGACACGCTGTGGTATGACTGAATATTGTTCAAAACAGTGATTAACCACTATATCAGTCTGTGCCCCGAAGAGACTTCTACTCTGTGCCAAAAACATTTGAGTCTTGTAGTCTGAATTGGCTCTTAGCGTCATGATGTACAATTAAGTGTTATCATATCGACTGTTGTTTGCTGACCTGACTTGACCAAATAGAATTTTACTTGACTCTAGCTTTAGACTAGCAGCTAACTTCACCGAATGCATTATATAATGCTTTTAAACAATTACTCAGTATCCAGGCACTGCATCAAGACACACCCTGTGTGGTTGCATTGTTCTATGTGAATAATAACAATGATAGCAATAATAAGAGTTATTTCTTATAATAATTTTCTTAAATATCTTTAAAAAACACATTCATTACCATTATTTGCAAAATACTGAATTCATTTTGAAAGCTGGTGAAAGCTACTCACATTTTCAAGGGTTATAATTGTGCTTGTATCAATATTCTCATCAGAACGCACAGGTTATCAATAAGTTGATATTTTGTTAATCAGTGACAGCCCTACTAACACTATTCACGTACTCAATTAATCAGTGCACAATGTTCGAAATTAAACATTAAACTTAGAGCGACCTTGTCATAACCACAATGTTAAATGTTAAAGATAACAGAAATAGAAGTTGAGCTAGATATATTATTCAGCATCAGAATTATTAACAAGGTTTTGTGAGAAGAGAAATATTTTGAGTTAATAAAACATTTCATAGGCTATTTGTTAATAATGCAGTGTACAGGAACTAATATATATTGCTCCACTTTGATAAGGATATCTTTATCTTTCCATGACACACAAAACTGATTCTCAGTCAAGTACAGCGGTAGAAACTAACTAAAGTTTTACTCCACTAGTCCTTAATGATAACATGTATCAAAACCTGTAAAAATGGCAAATTTCTACCAGTCCTTATGATACCTTAGCTATTGGGCAGTTTGGCAAGGACTATAGGACTATTGCCAATTTCTAACACTGCAAGTGTAATTGTTATATTTAAATAGGACATATCTGATAATCCCTATGAAAAGTTGAGTAGTATATTTAGTGTTAAGTGCGAAATTGCCTGATATTTTATATGATGAAAACCCTTGATTCGGTGATAGAAACTAACATTTTTAGTTCGCTAGTTCTCATAACGATAACATATGTAGCAAAATCCATAAAAATTGGAGCTCACTTTGTGGAAATGATGCTAATTGCCATGAGTATTGTACTAATGCTTCAGGATATGGGAATGGTAGTTTCTTTACGGGTGAATCATATTGTTCAGTGGAGAGTGTAATAAGCAGACAACATGCACATATTTATGTCTGTAACTTGTGACACAGATTTCAAACGAGTATCATTTAATTATCTTGGTCACATCCTGACATGAATGTGATGTATAGTCATATTAGTGTAGCATGAATATGGGATGTAGGTACAGGACGTTAAGTGATGACTTTCCGTTCTGAAATTTATACTACTCAAAAGACGTTAAGGACTACCCATTTCTTTCATAATACTAGTTAATCTGCCTTCATATGTTTTATCAGATGAAAGTCATCGCTTAATATCTTGCCAGGCGACTATGTTTGTTGTAAAAGGCGACTAACGGGATCGGGTGGTCAGGCTCGCTGACTTGGTTGATGCATGTCATCGATCCCAATTGCGTGGATCGATGCTCATGCGGTCAATCACTGGATTGTCTGGTCCAGACTCGATTATTTACAGACTGCCGTCAAATAACTGCTGAGTGCAGCGTTAAACAACAAACAAACAAACAAACAAAATAATATCTTGCCATGACAAATTAACTATAGTAATATGAGCAGTATATGGGTGAAATGTGAATGTTCAATAAAGAATGATGGATTATATATATTAGAGTATATTACATTTCTGTTTAAATAGCTGGAATATGTATTTATCAATATGAAATCTGATATATAGTTTCTATACTTTGAGAATAAGGATGTGATCGGCTCCGTGGTCTAGTGGTAGAGCGTCCGCCCAGAGAGGTTTGGG